AAACCATGATTAAGCATTATGAGAAAAACCATGATTAAGCATTATGAGAAAAAAGCAACCAATATGCCCTAATCTGAGTAGCAGATGAGTATCCCATTATCCCAGGGGTGTCAAACTGGATTTCGTAGAGGGTCAGATCAGCATTGTTGTTGTCCTCTGTGGGTTGGCCAGGGGTGGGGATGGGAGAGACGGGATGGATAGCAGTCGGGACAAACGCCTCCTGCAGCATTCTGCCAGCCAAAATGGGGCACAGAGGCTTAGCATGCGGCCTCCTGTGCCCAATTTTCAGCCTAGACGGCTTCCTGAAGAACTCTGCCAGCCAAATTGGGGTACGAACAGGGCGTTTTCACTAGCAGAGGCACTGTGGGCTGGTCCTTCGCTATTTCCAAGCCGGACAAATCTAACATCCCACAAGCCAGATCTGGCCCAGGAGCCTTGAGTTTGACACCCCTGCAATATCCCATTCCAGGCAAATAAATGAAATAACTGAACCTGGGGTTTCTTCGTGCAAAACATGGACTATTATCAAATTATGCCCCCTCTGTTTCTAGTATATGATTATGCTATGTCAGTTTGACATCTGTTTCTATTCACTCAATCTTGCCATCTTTTCTTTTCATACTAGTATCCCAATGCACAACCATCAGCTCGAGGATCAGATCCAGCCCAAAGTACACTGTAGGAAGAAGAGAGGGATTGTTGTCTCCACCATTCTCCTTTGGTGATAATTTGACCACGTCCAAACATGCTCCTGGCATAACCAAGCACAGGTTCCTGGACATTATGGCCCATGGCTCTCAAATCATCTGCTATGTTTTGAGGAATGCCGTCTTCCAAGAACACCTGCCACGCACCTAATGATTAAAAGAACAGCATTCCAGATTTTATTTGCATATTTGAAATACTGAACAAATGTCCAATTATTTTACAAATACCACCTGACCCCAAAGCTAAAATATTATTTTCAGCACTTAAGCACGATCCCACAAAAGGAAAATAAAATATTCTCACTCATCGACACAGGAATAGGAAAAGGAATCTGAATTGGAAACATTTTTAAAGCAAGTCCTTTAAAATGATTAGATGACAGCTTTAACTTTGTAGCTAAGAAACAATCATCCTGCATCTTTACAACTGAGAGGAAAACAAGGTATCACTTCTGGAGGCACGAGATAAAAGTTTCCCTGTCCAATCATGTGTGACTCTAGGGAGCAGAGCACATCTTTGTTCTTTGGCAGAAGTAACCAGCATTGTCTGAAGGCATTTTCCGTGATCCTGTGGCCAGAATGGCTATATGCCAAAGAAGCACATAACGGTTACCTTCCCACAAAAGTGGTACCTATTAATCTACTGGCATTTGCATACATTTCAACTGGTAGGTGTGCAGGAGCCCTCATTCTATGTAGCTTCTTTATATAATATTAATTGGCAATTTTGTCCGCAATCTGTGGCAACACACAGCTACACATGACCAGACTTTTTAAACATATTGGATGTAGCCTGTA